CAGGGGCCCAAGACTGTTCAACTGCCTCCCAGCATACATAAGGGGGATTACCAAGAGACCCCTGGCAGTCTTCAAGCTGGCACTGGACAAGCACCTAAAGTCGGTTCCTGACCAGCCGGGCTGTGGCTCGTACGTTGGTTTGCGTGCAGCCAGCAGCAACAGCCTGGTTGATAAGGCTCTGATCCACCAGGAGGCCTGGTCACAGACCGGGCCGCGGGGGCGTTGACCCTCGGAACTCTCTCTAGGTAAACTCCAGGTAAACTTATATACTATATACTTATATACTATATACAGGTCTCCCTCAACATTCACGTTTTCAACTTTCACGGGCTTCACACATTCGCGAATTCCCAACCGCCAAATTCCCAGCCACCAAATCATATTTAAGTTTCCCGCCACCTGCGAGTCCCTACTACCCTCCCTCCGACCCCCGCAACTGGCAGCCAGCCCTCCCACCACTCAGTGTGGTGAGTGTTTTGTTTGTTCATTATTTGCTATTAAACTACAGTATAAATAATGTCAAACCCATTCATGACTGCATATTGGAATGGCTATTCGGACAGGTATTGGACGGTGACATCATGTGTTTACTCTTGAACACAGCAAAGAATCAAACATTTCTGCTACAGCTAATAATAACAATAGTAATAATAATAATAATAATAATAATAATAATAAATATGATATAACTGAAGAAGGAAATTGTACAAAAATACGAGGGAGTGGTTGACACATCGTCAGTGAGACTTTGTTTATGCTGGAGTGAACATTAGTCTCCGTGCTCTTCCAAACATTTCACAATAATTCATTGTGTTTGGTGCTTGTAGATTGAGTGTGACTGAAGTGGTAGAGGCAGTGATTGAGGCAATGGTATTTAATAACATACATGTTAATAATAATACATGTTATTAATACTATGTACTGTTATTATTTATAACATATATGTTATTAAATACCACTGCCTCAACCGCTGAATTATTGTGAAATGTTTGGAAGAGCACGGAGACTAATGTTCACTCCAGCATAAACAAAGTCACACTGACGATGTGTCAACCACTCCCTCGTATTTTTGTACAATTTCCTTCTTCAATTATATCGTATTTATTATTATTATTATTATTATTATTATTATTATTATTATTATTATTATTATTGTTATTACTATTGTTATTACTATTGTTATTATTAGCAATAGCAGAAATGTTCGATTTATTGCTGTGTTCAAGAGTAAACACATGATGTCACCGTCTAATACCTGTCTGAATAGCCATTCCAATATGCAGTCATGAATGAGTTTACATTATTTATTCTGTAGTTTAATAGCAAATAACGAACAAACAAAACACTCACCACACAGTGGTGGGAGGGCTGGCTGCCAGTTGTGGGGGTCAGAGGGAGGGTAGTAGGGACTCGCAGTGGTGGAGGCAGTGCTGGAGTCTGTGTTATTTAATAACATACATGTTGTTAACATACATGTTATTAAATATCATATGTTATTAAAGCATAACATGTATATATTTAGTACAATTTGCGACGTTTTCATGTATTTTATGATTATTCATGGTTCAACAAGTTAAGGAAGCAGTATTGTAATATATTTCCCTACAATATATTGAGGCACCAAACATTCGCGTTTTTTCAACACTCGCGAGGCTCTTGATCCCCTAACCCTCGCGAATGTTGAGGGAGACCTGTATATATATACACTGAGACTTCATTTCTAATTAATAATAATAATAATAATAATAATAATAATAATAATAATAATAATAATAATAATAATAATTTTCAGCTTGATACAATGTTTATACTATGAATGGCATTTGGGTGTACGTGCTGAAAACCCATATACAGTGGACCCCCGCATAACGATTACCTCCAAATGTGACCAATTATGTAAGTGTATTTATGTAAGTGCGTTTGTACGTGTATGTTTGGCAGTCTGAAATGGACTAATCTACTTCACAATATTTCTTATGGGAACAAATTCGGTCAGTACTGGCACCTGAACATACTTCTCGAGTGAAAAAATATCGTTAACCGGGGGTCCACTGTATATGTAGAGCATTTCGGGTAAACTTAAGACTGACTTAGGATTACTAAGGCAGTAACATGTTGGTGAGTGTGAGTATAAATTTAGGAGTTTACAGTGAATACAAGAGAATTGAATATCCTATTCATGCTATATGGCATTAACCCTTAAACGGTCCAAACAGATCGACGTTCAGATTCATAGCGCTCCAAAAGTCGATCTGCTTTTTTTTACACGTTTTGAAATGTAAAACAGAAAAGAAGATCTACATTTTTTTACATACTTTCAGATGTTGAAAAAACGTATATATACGTTTGGACCGTTTAAGGGTTAACAGCTATGAAACAAATTACACGTTTGATTATTAACATAAAGGTGACACAGATTTAATATTTGGGAGGATTACAGATATTGAGAGCAGGTCTTATTTGTTTTACATGTGTTTGTGACATTGAGAATATGCATGTGTTGTCTTCAAATGTTTAGATAACAAAAAAACAAGGCACAATACCATAACTGGAACAATACACAGATAACTCGCACATGGAAGAGAGGAGCTTACGACGACGTTTTGGTCCGACTTGGACCATTTACAAAGTCTTGTAAACAAGAAGGAGAGGAGGGAGTATATATAGGCCTGCAGACAATGATGGGAGCATGAGAGGTTGTGGTGGTGGTAGTGGTGGTGGTAGTGGTAGTGGTAGTGGTAGTAGTAGTGGTAGTAGTAGTGGTAGTAGTAGTGGTAGTAGTAGTGGTAGTGGAGTCAGTCAAATACTAAGAAAGAGGAGCACTGCAAGGGAGCTAGGGGCTCACAAGGGAGCTAGGGACTCACAAGGGAGCTAGGGACTCACAAGGGAGCTAGGGGCTCACAAGGGAGCTAGGGGCTCACAAGGGAGCTAGAGACTCACAAGGGAGCTAGGGACTCACAAAGGAGCTAGGGACTCACAAGGGAGCTAGGGGCTCACAAGGGAGCTAGGGGCTCACAAGGGAGCTAGGGACTCACAAGGGAGCTAGGGACTCACAAGGGAGCTAGGGACTCATAAGGGAGCTAGGGACTCACAAGGGAGCTAGGGACTCACAAGGGAGCTAGGGCTCAAGGGAGTAGGGACTCAAAGGGACCCAGGGACTCACAAGGGAGCTAGGGACTCACAAGGGAGCTAGAGACTCACAAGGGAGCAGGGACTCACAAGGGAGCCAGGGACTCACAAGGGAACCAGGGACTCACAAGGGAGCTAGGGACTCACAAGGGAGCTAGGGACTCACAAGGGAGCCAGGGACTCACAAGGGAGCTATGGACTCACAAGGGAGCTAGGGACTCACAAAGGAGCTAGGGACAAGGGAGCTAGGGACTCACAAGGGAGCTAGGGACTCACAAGGGAGCTAGGGACAAGGGAGCTAGGGCCTCACAAGAGGAGCTAGGGACTCACAGAGGGTAGGAGCAAGAGCACAGAGGGGAGGAAAAATAATAAAGGACAAATACCCAAGGCAGAAGAATGAAAACCCAAAGTAGAAAGAGGGAAGAGGAAGAGGGAAGAGGGAGAAGGGAAAAAAAATAATCAGGTTAAGTCACAGGTCTGCTGGCCTATATATATACCCTCCTTCTCTCCTTTTTGTTAGTGTGACTTTGTAAATGGTTCAAGTTGGACTGAAACGTAGTCGTAAGCTCCTCTCTTCTATGTGCGGGTTATGTGTGTATCCACATATTTAGCTTGTGCTGAGATATGTCAAGGAGATAAGATGTTTTTAACCCTCTCAGGGTTTCGGACGTACTAGTACAGCTTACGCCCCAGGGTTTTTGACGTACTAGTACGCCTAAATTCTAGCTCCCTCAAATCTAGTGAGAGAAAGCTGGTAGACCTACATATGAAGGAATGGGTGTATGTGGTCAGTGTGCGCAGTATAAAAAAACTCCTGCAGCACACAGTGCGTAATGAGAAAAAAAAACTTTGACCGTGTTTTTGGATTAAAACAGCGAATTTGCACTGTATTTTCGTATGGTATTTATTGTTGTATTCTAGTTTTCCTGGTCTCCTTTTATAGAATGGAAGACATATTACAGAAATTGAGATGATTTTGACTGGTTTTACAATGAAAAGTACCTTGAAATTGAGCTCAAAGTAGCAGAAATGCTCGATTTTTACCCGAGTTCAAAAGTAAACAAATCATACTAAGCGTCCAATACACGTCAACTGGTGAGTCTAATATTCTTTCACAAGTGCACTGATATTATTTATACCATTTCTACACTAATACAGTAGTCTGCATAACAGTAAATCTATTTTTTGTGAGAATAAAAATTCAAAGTGGAAAGCAAAAGAATGTAAGAGGGGCGTTGGGACGTGACTAATGAACAGAGGAAATGTTATTTTAGTGCCAGGAATGTCTTTCTTGTTTATTCTGGACCCCATTTGGAAATTGGCATCTTTTGAAATTTGTGCGAAATTGGCAAAATTGCTAAATTCTGACCACTGTATTGGATAGTTGAAACCGGTAAATGGGTGGTTTCTTGTACTCATTCGATAGAAAAAATGGAGTTCTATCGAAATAGTTATGATTTTTGTCGACTAGTACACTGGAATTGGTCGAAATTAGGGCTCAAAGTCAGCAAAATCATCGATGCGTAAACATCGTCGGGACCGCTAACTTTGCAAGAGCATAATTCCGTAAGTTTTTCATCAAATTTCATACTTTTGGTGTCATTATGATCCGGAAAAGATTCTCTATCTTTTCATAAGAAAAAATTTTTTTTTTTTTTTTTTAAATTTGGGTGACCCTGAGAACAAGTCTGGGAGAGGGCCTGGAGACCCTGACAAGGTTAATAGTAGTCATGAAAATGCTGGCTGAGTCAGTGGTTGTGGAGATCATCTTTACACTGTAAACATAAATGGGAAATTATTAAATTTTTTTATTGGATGCTAGCCTTGTATGGGTATAATATAAAAATAATTGATAATTCTTCCTTTTTCAGATTGATGGTCTGCTCAAGCCCTCACTGGTTCACCAAGAAGTAGATCCAAGGTGCTCCAAGCTACTCACACTGTAGGGAAACAAACTTACCTGAAATAAATCTTACGCTGGTGATTTCTGTGGCTTTCAGTGTGCCCACAGTTGTGCGTTTTCCAGATTAAATCTTCACAAGAAGCAGTAAATCTGTGTGGGTCATTTAACTCTATGAGTGAGAGGGAGCTGTGACTCTCCTGTTTTGCCATCTAAACTCTTAATTAATCCTGAGCAATATGAGAGAAAAATGATTTATCAAAGAACAGACTGAAAGACTTGAGTAATGAACTGAAACTTAAGTGGCATTGCTTAAAGGTATGTGAAATGGAGGTGTAGTTGCAAGGAATATTGTGATTCATTTGCAAGATTGTGAATTCTTGTGCTCAGTCAGTGAGTGATAATTCCCCGAGACATGCTGGAACAGGGTGTGTGTGGTAAGGTGATAAGTCTTTATTGCATGCAATTTGTCTTTCCCGACACACGCCTCTTTCACAGATTTTCGAGCTGACCTCTGTGTGGGTGTCATAAATAATGAGAGAAGACATGTTTAGGTGTGAAGAGTGTGGTAAACAGTTTGCTTATAAGAACAATACCATCACCCAGATGATTGTGCACGGGGGAGAGGATAAGTTTGCCTGTGAGGACTGTAGCGGCCTCCTGGCCACGCACCCAGCCCACCTTGGGGCTCACATGCTGGTCCAGACCGGCGATGGTGTAACTGCCGTCACCACCATCCCGGACAAGAGGTTCGCCTGCGTCACTACCACAGCTGCCATACCTACAGTGATTGAAAAGAGGTATGCCTGTGAGGTGTGTGCTAAGCTCTTCCCCAGGAAGAGCAGCCTGAACACCCACCGGCTGGTGCACAGCGGAGAAAAAAAGTATGAGTGCGAAGAATGTGGAAGTAGATTCACTCGGAAAAGCAGCCTCAATACTCACTCGATCACACACACTGGAGAAAAGAAGTTTGAGTGCAATGAGTGTGGTGGCTTGTTCACCAGAAAGAGCAGCCTCAACATTCACCGGCTGGCTCACCGCGGTGAGAAGAAGTTTGAGTGCGACAAGTGTGGCAAACGATTCACCAGGAAAAGCAGCCTCAACACCCACATGTTGATGCACAGTGGCGAGAAGAAGTTTGAATGTGAGGAATGTGGCACAATGTTCACCAGGAAGAGCAGTCTGAACACGCACATGCTGGTTCACAATGGTGAGTAGATCTCCAAGACTGTGGCAGTCATGAACCCACTGTAGACCAGGATTCCCGCAGTTCAACTGCCAGAGAAAAGCTGTAAGAGAAATAACTACATAGGAAGCAATAAAATGAGTCCCAGTGAATATAAACATTGAATGTTGTGGATGTTATATCACGCCAACACTGCAACTGTAATGCAGTATGCGCATTGCCATTAATGTTATAATTTGTAACAAAACTTTGGGGCTGACACATAGTGTGTGTGTGTATGGTACACACTTGGTGTATGTATGGTACACATGGTACATGTACAGTATACAGGTGGTGTGTGTATAGTGTGTACACATCGTGTGTGTGCCATACACACACACACATGTGGTAACATGTTCTTTTCATGTAACTGCATTATTTATGTGGTTTAGAGCTAATGAGAAACGTTACACTGCCATTTGTGCGAGAGAAGTGTTGTATTGTGTACGATGGCAGGTGTTGCCCACGTTATGGTAGACAAGCACGGTGCAAAGCAAACCTTGTTTTCATAACCCAGGTTGTGTTCTTTGTAGAGCTTTACTATCACTTTATGAAGCTCTACTTAGAGCAAAACACCTCAAAAAAAACTTTATAACTGGAATAGTTTCTGAAAACCAAAAAAGGAATATTTAGAGGCTGTGGATGTCTTTATTAATGGCTGTGTTTTGCACACAGGAGTGGTCTAGGGGTAGGGTCACTGCAAAGGGGCAATGGCCCTACCTCTAGACCACCATGACTTTTATTTTTGCAAAAAAACGTAAAAAAATCTGTCCTACAAGGAGAGGTTAAGAGAACCCGACCTGACGACACTGGAGGACAGGGAGGACAGGAAGACAGGGAGGACAGGAGGGGCAGGGAGGACAGGAGGGCAGGGAGGACAGGAGAGACAGGGAGGACAGGAGAGACAGGGAGGACAGGAGGGGCAGGGAGGACAGGAGGGGCAGGGAGTACAGGGGAGACATGATAACACATAAAATACTGAGAGAAACCGACAAGGTAGACAGAGACAGGATGTTCATGAATCACATTTGCTTGGAGGTTTTAGTATAGGCAGTGATAATGTATGAGTGAGGTGCAAGTGTTGAATGATGACGAAAGTATTTTCTTTTCGGGTCACCCTGCCTCGGTGGGAGACGGCTGACGTGTTGAAAAAAAAAAAGGCAATGTTGTTGAACAGTTTGCTTAATCTGGAAATCTGAGGCTGTTACTAAATACATAAAGCCTATAAAGCTTGACTAACAATTCAAGCTTATTGTATATGTAATTGAACATTATGGATTTGGAATCTTTTACTATCAGTGATTAGTGAGATAATTACATTATAATAAATATAATTTAATAATTTAATGCTTTTTTATCAGGTCACCCCTTTATAAATTATTTGATCGTATTTACGATTTAAACAATGTGGGTATACTTGTTTGTTTATTTACACATCAGCCAAGGCTTGAGAAATGGATAAACTTCTGTCATTACTCAATCACTTATCATGCTAGAAGAGTGTTGATATAACTGTTCAGATGATCCTTTGAACTGTAACATCCTCACCCATCCTTCAGAGTGCAGGTACTGTACTTCCCACCTCCAGCACTAACATCCTCACCCATCCTTCAGAGTGCAGGTGTTGTACTTCCCACCTCCAGCACTAACATCCTCACCCATCCTTCAGAGTGCAGGTGTTGTACTTCCCACCTCCAGCACTTAACATCCTCACCCATCCTTCAGAGTGCAGGTGTTGTACTTCCCACCTCCAGCACTAACATCCTCACCCATCCTTCAGAGTGCAGGTATTGTACTTCCCACCTCCAGCACTAACATCCTCACCCATCCTTCAGAGTGCAGGTACTGTACTTCCCACCTCCAGCACTAACATCCTCACTCATCCTTCAGAGTGCAGGTATTGTACTTCCCACCTCCAGCACTAACATCCTCACTCTTCCTTCAGAGTGCAGGTATTGTACTTCCCACCTCCAGCACTAACATCCTCACCCATCCTTCAGAGTGCAGGTACTGTACTTCCCACCTCCAGCGCTAACATCCTCACCTATCCTTCACAGTGCAGGCACTGTACTTCCCACCTCCAGCACTGTAACATCCTCACTCATCCTTCAGAGTGCAGGTATTGTACTTCCCACCTCCAGCACTAACATCCTCACCCATCCTTCAGAGTGCAGGCACTGTACTTCCCACGTCCAGCACTGTAACATCCCTACCCATCCTTCACAGTGCAGGCACTGTACTTCCCACCTCCAGCACTGTAACATCCCTACCCATCCTTCACAGTGCAGACACTGTACTTCCCACCTCCAGCACTGTAACATCCCTACCCATCCTTCACAGTGCAGACACTGTATTTCCCACCTCCAGCACTGTAACATCCCTACCCATCCTTCACAGTGCAGGCACTGTACTTCCCACCTCCAGCACTGTAACATCCCTACCCATCCTTCACAGTGCAGGCACTGTACTTCCCACCTCCAGGACTGTAACATCCCTACCCATCCTTCAGAGTGCAGCACTGTATTCCCACCTCCAGCACTGTAAACATCCCTACCCATCCTTCACAGTGCAGGCACTGTACTTCCCACCTCCAGCACTGTAACATCCCTACCCATCCTTCACAGTGCAGACACTGTATTTCCCACCTCCAGGACTGTAACATCCTCACCCATCCTTCACAGTGCAGACACTGTACTTCCCACCTCCAGGACTCAATGGCTAACTGGTTTCCAAAAGTCCCTTCAGAAGTATTACCTTGCTCACACTCCGACAGCTCATCAAGTCATAAAAACCACCTGCCTTCACTCACTCCCATCTAATGTGCACTGATTCTGAATTCCTCATTTAACTGTTACTACAATATTATAAAAATATTTTGACATTTAAAATCAATGACTTAATAAAAAATATGATTCCTTCAGCCAGGCTATCACATCTTTCCTCACTACATTATTATTATTATTATTATTATTATTATTATTATTATTATTATTATTATTAATTATTATTATTATTATTATAATCAAGGGGAAGCGCTAAACCCGTAGGATTATACAGCACCTGGGGGGGATGTGGAAGGCATTCAGGCTTAATTCGGGGAACTGGAGCACAGATCCAATTCCCTAAATCAAGAGCCCCTGACCAACATCAAGGAACCTTCCCTGAGGGGTTCCTCATTACAACCATGAATTTTGGTTTTCTTCTCCCCAGGAAAATTTCTGGATCTGGCCTGGCAACACACCGGGTTTTTTCAAGTGTGTGAGTGAATTATTGTCATTAATAAAGGTATCCACAAAATCAGTAAAGTTTAACTGCATATTGTCATTAACCCTTTCAGGGTTTCTGACGTACTAGTACGTCTTACACACCAGGGTTATTGACATACTAGTACACGTAAATTCTAGCGCCTTCAAATCTAGTGAGAGAAAGCTGGTAGGCCTACATATGAAAGAATTGGTCTATGTGGTCAGTGTGTGCAGTATAAAAAAAATCCTGCAGCACACAGTGCGTAATGAGAGAAAAAAACTTTGTGTTTTTGGTTTAAAACAGCGACTTTGTACTCTATTTTTGTATGGTATTTATGATTGTATTCTAGTTTTCCTGATTTCATTTTATAGAATGGAAGACACATTACAGAAATGGAGATGATTTTGATTGGTTTTACAATGAAAAGTACCTTGAAATTGAGCTCAAAGTAGCAGAAATGTTCGATTTTTGCCGAAGTTCAAAAGTAAACAAATCATGCCAAGCGTGCAATACACGTCAACTGGTGAATCTAATATTCCTTCACAAGTGCGCTGATATTATTTATACCATTTCTACACTAATGCAGCAGTCTGCATAACAGTAAATCTTCTATTTTTTGTGAGAATAAAAATTCAAGTGGAAAGCAAAAGAAATGTAAGAGGGGCATTGGGACGTGACTAATGAACAGAGGAAATGTTATTTTAGTGCAGGAATGTCTTTCTTGTTTATTTTGGACTCTATTTGGAAATTGGCATCTTTTGAAATTTGTGTGAAATTGGCAAAATTGCCAATTTCTTACCACTTTATTGGATAGTTGAAATCAGTAAATGGGTGGTTTCTTGTACTCATTCGATAGAAAAAATGGAGTTCTAGCAAAATAGTTATGATTTTTGTCGACTAGTACATTGGAATTGGCCAAAAATAGGGCTCAAAGTGGGCAAAATCGCTGATGCGTAAACATCACTAAGACCGCTAACTTTGCAAGAGCATAATTCTATAAGTTTATACATCAAATTTTGTACTTTTAGTGTCATTATGATCGGGAAAATATTCTGTATCGTTTCATAAGATTTTTTTTTTTTTTTCCGAAAATTTTTCGACCCTGAGAACAAGTTTAGGAGAGGGTCTCTCAACCCTGAAAGGGTTAATAAAGGTACCCACACAATCAGTAAAGTTTAACTGCATATTGTCATTAACCTGTAAACGGTCCAAACGTATATACAATGGTCCCTCGTTTTTCGTAATTAATCCGTTCCTGGAGGAGCTACTATAAACAAAATTTACAATTTGCGAATCAATTTTCTCCTTAAGAAATAATGTAAATAAAATTAATCCGTTCCTGACACCCAGAAGTATTAAAACAAAAAATTTTTTTACATGAAATATACATGTAGTACATAAACAATACAATGGGAAATGATGAATGAAACATTAACAGCATAACACTTACCTTTATTGGAGATTCTTCTTAGTGTATGGGAGACTGGAGGAGGAGAGAGAGTGGATTGTTTATAGTTTGGAAGGGGAATCCCCTTCCAGCAACACCTCAGGTACCAATTGCTTTTCTGGGGTTGCTTGTCTTCTCTGTTTCTTAATGCCACTAGGACCACCTTGAGAGTCACTGGAGTCCTGTCTCACAAAATAACTGTGGAGAGAGCTCTGTTTCTGGCATCTCTTTAACACTTCCCTAAAATGGCCCAAGACTTTGTCACTGTACATGTTACCAACCTGGCTTGCAACAACCTTGTTAGGGTGATGTTTCTCCATAAAGCTTTCCATCTTACCCCACATAGTAAAAATCTCTTTAATTTCTGAAGAAGGCACCTTCTTCCATCTCTCTTCCTCCTCCTCTGCAGCAAGATTCTGAGCTGCGATGTGTTGCTCTTCCTGCTGAAGCTCTTGCAGCTCCTCAGTGGTGAGCTCTTCATTGTGGTCTTCCACCAATTCTTCCACATCCTCCAAACTCACATCCAACCCCATGGAACTCCCCAGTGCCACAATTGATTTTACAACAGACATAGGCTCATCAGGGTCAGTCCCAAACCCTTCAAAATCCCTCTTGTCGACGCAATCTGGCCACAATTTTCTCCAGGCAGAGTTCTAAGTCCTGGTAGTCGCTCCCTCCCAAGCCATACCTATAAGGGTTATGCAGTGGAGGATGCTGAAGTGTTCTCTCCAAAATTCCCTTAGGGTCAAGTGAGTGTCTGTGGTCACAGTCAAGCACCTGTGAAACATTGCTTTTGTGTAGAGTTTTTTAATGTGTGTGGTGTGAATATAATGCAGAGAATTCGTAGTTTGGAAGTTAGGAGGAGGTGCGGGATTACCAAAACTGTTGTCCAGAGGGCTGAGGAAGGGTTGTTGAGGTGGTTCGGACATGTAGAGAGAATGGAGCGAAACAGAATGACTTCAAGAGTGTATCAGTCTGTAGTGGAAGGAAGGCGGGGTAGGGGTCGGCCTAGGAAAGGTTGGAGGGAGGGGGTAAAGGAGGTTTTGTGTGCGAGGGGCTTGGACTTCCAGCAGGCATGCATGAGCGTGTTTGATAGGAGTGAATGGAGACAAATGGTTTTTAATACTTGACGTGCTGTTGGAGTGTGAGCAAAGTAACATTTATGAAGGGATTCAGGGAAACCGGCAGGCCGGACTTGAGTCCTGGAGATGGGAAGTACAGTGCCTGCACTCTGAAGGAGGGGTGTTAATGTTGCAGTTTAAAAACTGTAGTGTAAAGCACCCTTCTGGCAAGACAGTGATGGAGTGAATGATGGTGAAAGTTTTTCTTTTTCGGGCCACCCTGCCTTGGTGGGAATCGGCCAGTGTGATAATAAAAAATAATAAAATAATTTTTTAAAGTTTGCAATAACCTGCTGGTCCATGGGTTGGAGGAGAGGAGTGGTATTCGGGGGCAAGAACTTTACTGTGATGAACCCAAACTCCTCCAAAATTAAGTCATCCAAGTTTGGAGGATGAGCAGGTGCCTTGTCCATTACCAGCAGGCACTTGAGATCCAATTTCTTTTCCAGGAGGTAATTCTTCACACTAGGGCCAAACACTTCATTGAACCACTCGACGAAAATTTCCCTCGTGACCCATGCCTTATTAT